AATTAGTTGCGGCTTACATATGTACTCTCGTATCGAACGTTTCCCGGTTCAAAATTCCTACATACGTTCTTAAGATTATATCTTGCGTTGGTAGATGTAAGTATTTTGCGATTTATGTATGCGTTTTGCACGGGATTGTTCATCTGACGCTAGTATTCAACTTAAAGAACATATTTGCAACTATATGTATACGCTTTTATATTGCAGGTTCGGGACTTTTACCTCGTAACCTTAACCCGTTGGAATTATAGGTGTTTAACTTAATGAAGTGTTTACGATCTGTGAAGTTGTTAATATACGCTCGTTATACTGACCATTTCTTTCCAAATCTCTCATATGTTGCCATTTCTGCAAATATTACTTCTGATACTGTTATACGATATACTTTAATAATACTTTTTAAACTATGTACATGTTATATACTATAATCAAATAATAAAATACTGTTATTACACAAATACAGTACATTGTGCGATGTTAGCATTACGTGATGACACTATTGATTACCACTCCCATGATTATATATTACGTGATAATACGATCACGTGAAATGCAAGCATCAGCCGACTGCAAGCATCAGCTGCGACAATAATTAACTTTTAATATCAATAATAGGCAGTTCTAATACTAATATAATATGGGGGGGTAGCGTTACACACATTTGCTGATCGCTCTTAACATACCTCGATAACTTTTGAACGAACCAAGCTACATCCATAAAGTCTGTACCGATACATATGCTCTACAAAAAAATAGTAATAGAGAAGTTTTTTTGCTTCGATGTAAGTACGTAAAAAAAATTTAAAACACGTTCTTATATGCAAACTTAAAATCAACAATATTATTCTCTATGCCGTAATTTGATTGTAGAAATTTTCTATTCACTATTTATGCTTTACAGATTGTCAACGGTTTAATACAGTGCGTATGTATACATAATAAAGGATTAAATTACGGTTAATAGTCGAAGCGCATCAATTAGTAACACTATTTATAAAAACAAGTATGATATGACAGCTACGACGATCTATAAAGTTACACTGGCTATATATCGATATTGCTTCACTGATACTATCGTTCATAGTTACAGAAACTACTATAAACAATCGCGATATTATGTTACACTAGACAATGTATTGATACGCTTTCCTGTTGATTAACAGTCGTCCCTACTTCATAGATGACAACATTCATAATTACAAGGTAGCGTGTGGGTAAGCAATATTGTCATCCTTTGTCATCTAACATGCAAACGCGTCGACTCATACATAGATGAACAGACAATTCTCTCTGTCGTTGACAAAACCTCACGACTGAACTAGTCATCAAACAACAAACTTTCTCTCTTACATTCCATAACGCATATGTAACACGAATGACTCATCAAATGACGAACCATTCTCTGTCACTACTCGATAGATAATCGTGCAAGAAGAGCAGTATGTCAGAGGAAACTTTTTAACTTGGAAATTGCGGACTTTTTTCTGCCAACTAGTGAGTGTTCCTGTAACTCCTAACATTGATTGATTGCCCATATCTGTCCAACGTTTTCACAAATTGTGAATTGTATATTGAAATGTTGCGACATAAGGATTTAATAAATATCTGTTGTCATTGAAAGAATATTATGATGGGATAAAGTCATCAATTTTACCATAAAATAGCGCATTTGTAAACGTGACGTAGCTAGCATTATTCAGATACAACATCGTTCAAAGCCTCAGATTGTTCAATATGCAAACACATTGAACGTAGTAAACACGTATCGAAAGTGATGTTAGTATGTCTGACGCGACCCTCTTATGTAAAAATCTACAAACGAGGGTGAGAGGAGTTGGATTCGTTGCATTACTATTGTATATGTTGTGCAATCCGCTCCGCTGCAATATATCGGAAAAAAAAATATTATTTTTTTTTCGTGTAAGTGCAATTACTCAAGCTCACCCTAAAATTACAGTTTTTGGCGAAAATAATGGCGGAGTATGTTCCTTAAAAAAGACAAAAACGACATAATAATTACGCAAAAAACTTTATTTTTCACATGCTTGTAAGTAGGAGTCTGAATATGGGGAAGATTATAATAGAACACATTTTTGATTGTCATGTTAGTAAAATATAAATGCAGTTGTTTAAATGACTGGTACCGCTAACTTTATCTTTAAGAATTGGACAAAAAATTTATTAATTTTATAACTCAACGAATAGCGAGCCAATCGAACAAAAAAAAACTACCAGAATGACTGTCGCATCAATGTCAGTTAATAAAAACAGAATTATCAAAATCGAATCACTGGTTGCTGAGAAAACAAGTATTTAATATCTTAACAAGTTAAAAAATTGCCTTAAATTGGCAATTATGAAATTTTTATTTACCGGTGGTTATACTGTACTGACGGAACGCACTACATTATTATTTATTTGAGTGGGCAATGTACAATACATTTTTCAGTAATATCAGAGAAATTAATATTATACCATATGTGGAGCAATGACAAACGAAATTTTCTCCGCCATTATTTTCGCCGGGGACTGCATGTTAGATAAGATAGGTACCGATGTGAATGTACAAATGGCAGAACTATATTGTCGTGCAAAATATGCTTTATTCTCTTTCAACCACGAATATCCTAATGCCAAATCGATTTTTCTTCTTGATCTACATACAAGCACAACCGCGTGCAAGATTGTACTTAAAATCGTGAACAACTATAAATTCGGTGAACAAGCTATCATTAGCACTTTGTAGTAGAAAATTAATTGGCAGTTTACTTTTCCGAGACTCGAATCGATTTTTCTTATCAAGTGTTGCGTGCCAAATATACAGTATATATATAACAAATGGTAGATACCTTTCACTCATGGATCGATAAATTATAATATAAGTAGACAATGGCAAATAGCCGAGCTTCAAAGGCTCTGAAACTTGCTGGAGTCTTTCCAACGACTTGTTTCACTTCCGAAGGTTTTGAGTTATTGTTATTGCAGGCTTGAATTTAATCATAGTTTTCCGATATTGGACCCTCCCATATGTCTTCTTCTGATATGGGTGGTAATATAGGTGGCGCTGTGTCGTGGCCTATACAGATATACGCCTTGACTATTTCTTGCCACTCTTTGCCAATCAAACTTTTAACCGTAACATTTCCCTCATTATCACTCCAATCAAAAACCAAGATCACACCATTCCGCCCGGTATACTGGAGAGCACAGCTCAAATCTGGTGTGGTGTATAGACCATAACCAAACTCATGGTTTTCTGAAGAATGTGGGGGTGCAGACCTTCATATATAGAGCAATAAATACGCCACGTACGAATTCCACGATAAAGCACTTTTCGATTGAAAAGTTTGTCCTGAATTGGTACCAGCGCCCTGTATGAATTTTTTTTGTTTCCTGGATGGTTTATTTTATATACAAACAATTTCTCAAGGAAGCTTTTCTTTGGTGGATTCAGGATCTTGCTAAGGTTGATCAACTGAGCCTTGGTCGATACAAAGTCAGGAATTTTTCCAGTTTCTAGGATGAATTGACGAAGTCCTGGATATATGGCTTCATAATTAAAAGGTACCCACAGTCGATCACTTTACAGACTACAAAAAACTTGGACGAGACTCCCAAAGGGACTTCAACCGCTCCATTCCAGGCTATGATATCTTTTTCCTCAAACCCAATCTCTTTCAGAATTTTTCGTACTTCTGGTGGTGATAGTTCTATGGCTACTTTCCATGGGAAACTTGGAAGCTCAGATAAGGAAACTGGCAAAGACATATCAAAGAAGGATATTTCTTTTCAACTACAGAGTTTATGGTGAACAAAATAAAAGACAGAATGTAAAGTACAAGGAAACAACGTAATTTTTACACACTGATGACAATTACAATCGATAAGTCTTCACTAATCAAACCAGTCCTTACATATATAGTGATTATGCAAAAACTCACGGGTAATAAATCTAAGCACGCATTGATTAGATGTCATGCATATTATAATAATCAATATAATAAATGTAATTAGTATTCACGATTTTCAGCTTGCCGTTTACAACCACACCTTGGCTTTTAGTGTCTGCCCATCATCTATTTCTCCTAAACATTATCACGACACTTTATCGCATGTAGTGTCGCTTGTCCACTCTCCGGATCATGTAGTCGATACATTCGTACATATGGAGATAACATGCCTTGAAAGATGATACTGGTCCTGCACTATTGATAGCGGAAGTCCTAAAGCTGTGTTGTATTACAAACAACCAATTTTTTAGCACCTGAAATATACTGTAATAGATACTCCTCGATAGTTTTTTCAGCATAAGTAATTCATGCGATGCGCATTCTCCGTTTACAGGATTCATCCAGGATTAGAAGTCGTGGCTCATCTTGCGGGTTGTATTAGTGTAACTTCTGGGCTCTCAAAGCCGTGTTGAAGGAAAGCTATCTGATAAGAATTTATCACACCGCGATAATATTTCCTTTGTAGTACGATCGACATGTAGTACAGCTTTAGGTATTTCAACACGATTATGTCACGACACTCTTTTTACCACATGGTATTGAACATAGTAGTAAAATAACGCAATGCTCAGAGGTAAGTTACCTGTCACTAACTCAATGACTCCTAAATTGATCAGTGAGATTAGTTGACATTTCGTTACTTGTGTTCGTTAGTCTTCTTTTTTCTTTCGCTTAGAGTGCAGAGAGTAAAAATGGAGTAGGGTTTATTGGTCAAAGGCTTTTTGCTCCATACTAGTGTATTATTCATCATTTCTATAATGTACTAAATTTTTTTTTCTTTATAGTTCAGCATTATACGATACAAGTATACGCATGTGTTTAATAACATTGTTCATTCCGAATATTGGCGACCTTCCCCACCCCATTACAAAGATTGCATGACACATTAACCGGCACAAAATTTCTCTGATCATGTGATAAAGATTTCGTTGACGAGAATACTGGGAGCTGCCAGGAGACACTTGGAACATGGCTTGGTTGACGTTGTAGTTGAAGAAATTTGAGTGAGGCGTCCACTATTTTAGTAGGAAATGAAGACAGCTGAAGTGTTAAACACGAAACAATGTTTTTTTTTTCACATTTTTTGGAAGTAATTTAATCGTTTCACGCCCATCATTTATAAACCGCTTCAATAGGAATCAGACTCTGTATAGCTGAGGTATCCTAGACCATAGAACAACCCTCTTTAATCAATATTTTAAAGCCAAGAATGCCTGTCAAACTAAACTTGCGGGACAGACGAATGGAGACTTTACGATACATACAGGTTTCCTAGTATATCTCTCTCGTCTTATGACTGAAGAGAGTTAGATTAGCTGTCGACTAGGAAGAACTTTGAAAGAACAGGAGAGGGTTAGGGAATTGAATCGTGTTGTTAAAAGTTCTGGCGAAAACAGCGAGGATTGAATGAATGGAGCGCATTCCTGCTATTGATGACCAGTACGAATATTGTAGGCATATGCACCAAGAACGTTTGGATCCGTTCGTATTATTTTGCCAACTCATTTTTGATGTATTTTTCTAGTGACCGGTAACATTTCGGCTATCGGCAAAACGTATATATTGGACATCTCCTTTCAATTCGAGCGATGACATATCAAGTGGAAGACCTTTTGGTCTTATTTCTTAAACAAACTTCTATGCCGAAGCTGATGGACAGTAGTAATATGATACTGGAGCAATTATCATCGATGGTCGAGCTGAATAGATAGATGTATACAACGGTACGAGACATACGTATCACGTGTTGGCTATTTGAAATATGGTTTAGTGTTGGGGCGAAATATCGCTGCTTGTGACGAAGTGAAGTATGGACGCAACCGCAACCAAAAAGACATCAAAGTACTGTAGAACACAGACCCAAATGAAATAATTTACGGGCGGGAATGGATTCCAAGATCACATGGCAATTTATAATTTCTTGAAGAAATTTGTTTCGGAGACATTTCTGAGGCATCATGGAGTATGTTGTTTAAACCATATCGAATATATCCGAATATGGGACAACACCAAGCAGAACTGTCAACTACCCAAAATATGCCAAGCGAATCTTCGTAAAGATACAAACTAACCATTCCATCAATATGTTATCTGAAATTGTTTTCCTTTTTTCTAGTGGAGTTTTCCACATCATATCTAATAACCTGGCAATGAAAAGAATTTCTTTCATTTGGCTTCTTGTATTATAATCCACGCGGTGAACCAGTCATAGCACGAGACAATCTTATTTTTTCTTTTACTTCTCTTCGGTATTTCCCACTTTTTTAAATCTGACTTCCGTTTCTCTTCTAATTTTCGGTAACACAAACAAATTTGTGATACTTTCGTATTTTTTTTATCTTTCGTCGGAATCTTATTAAATAAATTACGTTTTAACCAATGCAGAAACCGATGTTACCATAAACCAGAAATTTAGAATCTTCAGCATTTAGTCATTTATACTCGATAGTCATTTCCATATTGCTTATAAAACCAAAAAATTTTTCAATCGAAAGCTAACTGCTTTGCCAAAACCTAATTCTGGATATAATTAATAAAGGGATTAAATACTCGTTACAAATCGATAATCTAACATCTCATTTACATATTCATCATTGCAAAATACGTACTAATAGAAAATAGTTTTCGGAATAGAATTGTGTCAAGCAAATGCTATTTCTGCCCGAAATACGCGTCTAATGAAAACAGTTATCTAGCAGGTTTTGTACGCTCTAACTTATGCACGTAGCACTGACAAAAACGCAACCTCACAACTTTGCAATTTGCGCAGTTTGTCTTATTTATTTACATTTTTCATTTTGTTACTGAAAATACAATAAAAATGCCTTGGTTCGATCAATTCGTAAGACTATAGTTTCAAATACTGCTCACGGAAACTATCGACAAGATTTTAACGTCGGCAATTTTGTTCAATTTACGGGGAAACTGGTATATGAGAACAAACCCCACAGAAACCAATTTACCCGATAACGCTCTCCCTCTATCAACTCAAAGATTCCCACAACAATAAATTTTTCCTATTATTTACCCCTGACTCAAATGTGAGTACATAATAAACTTTATATGCCTTATATAAGATTGATATTAATAAGTAAATGATTTTGCTTACAGCTCCCCCTTTGTCATGCGCCGCTCACTAGTTCTCGTCTATTAAATTTTCTGCTAAATTCGTATCTGTTGTAATAGTTTTTTCTCCAACTTGGCTCTTTTTAAATTATAATGTAGGCCGTCCCGCAAATGTCGGCACGCGTCACGCAAATCCGTTTCTTTTGAACCCATGATGATTTGAAATTAGCAAAGTTTTGATTGATAAAATAAAAAACTTGGTAATT